AAAAAAAAAAAAAAAAAAAAAAGAAAGAAAGACCTCATTAACCTGTATCTCAACACACTATATATATTCTGTGTGTGTGTTATGTACAGTTTGCATTGCAATTAATTTCAGATTTGAAGAAGACTAAATAATATAGTGAAAGTGTTATTATATATTAAACAATTTCTTTCATTATGAGCTCCAGAATAAAAATCTGTGCTTCCTAAGAGTGGGAAGATTGTATAATTTGAGAATATTGGACTGTATTTAGTTGAAAGCTTAAAAATGCACTGCTGTACATGTACAACATTCTATCTAATTTAATGAAGAATGGAAGAAAAAGAAAAGAGATTAGATGAAAGAATTCTTTTTCACACTGGTAACTTTCATATTGATCTTTGAAATCGTAATTATGGCCTGATCTGGGGAACACTGTTAAGATCATAATGTCTTGTTTTGTAGAATACTGGAGCAGATTCTACAAGTTTCACAATTCCCCCTCCCCAAGAGAGCACGGGCTTATCTATTTTGTCTGTTTCACAGTTCTGAAATCTAGTAACTCATTACAGAATTCTATGTAAGGCTTAAACACATGTGCATTAAGCAAACATATATCAATCCCAGGAAATATTTCCCTAATATTAACTTTTTAAATGTTAGTAATTCCTGGACCCTTCTCAGTCATAATAAATTTGATAGAAATGTACAGTTCATCAAATGGGTGCCAAGAGCAATGTGTGAAAGACGAAGTTTGACTCAGGGGTTACAGGCAGTCAATGACTTTCTGTTGTGTTAATTGTCTTCTTTGACCCTCCCCACTGCCTCTCTTCTCTCTCCGGGTCCTAGGTCAGGACGTCCCATGTGTTCTTAGGTAGTACTTTCCTGCTATGGCCACCCTCTCCTGCTGGGTGAGGTGAGGGCTCAGTACAAATTAATTCACATCAAATCACCAGTGACCATGCATTTATCTTTCCTAAGGTGCTGGTGTTTAAGACATTAAAAGAAGGACGCAATGCTCAACATTAGAAAGTAGTCTTTCTTAGTAGACACTCAGGGTTGATGTCTAGGTTGAAGGAAGTGAGAATTTCTTGTGTTGGTCAGATTATATACACTATTCAATTCACTATAGGGATAGCTGTAAGTTATGATGTAAGTTTATTTCAATACTCAAACACATATCCATATCTTTTACTTAATTCTCTCCATATTTCTTAGTATAGTAAGGCTGTATTATTATAGACTTGGTGAATGAAATCCAGAAAAATGCAGAATTCTATGTCTTCAGAAGCTCTCAACAACCCATCTGAAAATTTCCAAAGAAAAAATATTTTTAAATTGAAGTTTCTCTACTCGCATCCAAACAGTAACAGATATGCCACGCCAAGTTATCAAATCTGAATTCTGAAATACCCAGTGTATGTTGCAGCCCTTGCTGATTAAATTAGAAACACAAAATTTCCACTTGAGTTTTTCCACATACCATATACATATTCTGGTTTATCTAAGCATGGAAGAGTAAGGTCACTCTATGACACCAAAGGTGATGAATTCAGATTTTTAAAAATCAGTGCAATTGATTAGTCAAAACATATGATTACTAGTTTCTTAGGCAAAATACGTTACTGGAACTTTTATATTTTATATGAATGTTTTGTACAGTCATAGCCTTAAACTTTTCCTACCTGAATTAACCATTAACAAATTCCTTATTCTTCAATGGCCAAAGACAAGTCAACATAACAGTCTATTGAAACTAAACTTAAAATAAATTAAGGCAATGATTGAACTGTTTCATCTGTCTTGTCCATCTTTCTTTATCTTTCCTGGTATTTCCTTGTAATATGGTTTTATATGCAATGAGCTTGATTCCATTTTTCATCTTCAAAACTGAGTTACCATTGGGCTGGGGAATTAGCTCAGTGGTTCCACTGTCTGCCTTGCAAGTGTAAGGTCCTGAGTTCGAACCCCGGTATAAAAAAAGAAGAAAAAGAAGGAGAAGGAGAAGACAAAAAGAAAGACTACATTAATCAATGTACATAAACTACTAATTATTTGACGTCTATGGCCAGAGTGTGCATTTCATGCTGAAAGTAGAAAATATTCACAATTTGCAAAAATATTTATCATCAGTGAGAATTTGGAAACACATATGTATTTATCTGTTCTATATGAAAAATCTTATTAGATCAAATCTTGTTAGAATGCAGTTTCATGGCAAAGTTTTGACTTTCTGAAGTAGCTGGCTTATAGCAAAAAGAACCTAAGTTTTCTATCACTGATAGTTCACAGACAGCAGAATTAGATGATGTGGTACAAAGTAATGCATCCTATATGGTTTGGACTCAGCTGTGACACATATTTCCTGGTATACTTTACACAACAGTCCATGACCAACACCTTATTTTACAAAATATCATAAAGTGCTACCATCAAAGAAGTAAATGACCAACTGCAATAACAAAGCTGCTGCTTCTCTTTCATAGCTATATAAGAGTAGAGACTCATTTCAAACTTCAAAATTACATGCCATCCTACTAAATATGAGTTTATAGATTCTTAATTGAACAATGGTAGTGAAACAATTATTCTGATGTAAATATTTAAGTTATGTTTTCCATCAGACAAATGTATGGAAGAGAAAATAAAACAAAACAACAACAAAAGCAAAAGCAAAAGCAAGAAAAATAACATGCGTAGTGAAGTAGGTATCCTAAATTGGGTTCAAGAATGAATGAATAAATAAAAGCAAGTTGTGTGAAAGAGACACACTAAACCCTGAAGAGATGTTTTAAATGGGAAAAAAATGAGAAAAGGGCTGGTTACATTAAGTTTTATTTGGGAAGTGTTTAGAAAACATCTCTGATCTTTTACAGATGCTGTTCAACATGAATTTTAAAATAAATTGTACTCTGGAAACAACAGATAGTGATCAATTATTTAGTGGAATTAATTCTCTGCTAACTGTTTTTTCCTTGTTTTCTTTTCTGTGACTTCCCCCACTAATAAGGCCTAAGCTACTAGAATCTTTGTCTCCTATGGTGTCTTTGTAGAGAAGAACGTAAATCCTTGGAGGCAAGACTTGCTTTCAGAGATATCCTAGCACATTGAAACCCACCCTAGACACATTGGGTCAGCCCCCTGAGCTCCGCTGTTTACTGTGGGCTACGTTTGGATTTTACCTCAGTAAACACAATGGTTGTCCTCAGTTGGAGCCAGTTTCCTAAGTAAACTACAAAAAGAGGAGAAAAGACAAAGTATTTCTGGACGAAAAAAAAAAAAAGAGCAAAGACTGCCACAAATGGTGAATAAGCTCTGATGCCTAATAGAAAGAAGTAGAATGTGACAAAACAGAACGAGAAATAGAAATGCTGGAATAGCTTTATCTCTGAAGGCCCCTGAAATCTCAGAGAATTTATTTTGAACCAACAAACTGGGCTGCCCTTGTCTCACCAATGGTGGGCGTTATCTGATAAGACTAAAATAAACTTGCAAACAGGCTTTCTCAGAGAGGTGTGCAGGCCTCAGGGTTCACTGGGACGCACAGGGCCATCTCTCTGCGCTGGATGAACCAGGACCCCACCCCACATGCGGTGCCAGCTCGGACCCCAACGGATGGAGCAGGAGCAGGGAGCGGGGCGTGGAACTCCTACTGTCCGGGTGCAAAGTGTCAGGTCCCACACGCCTAGCCCCCATAATCCATCAGAGGAGGCCTGGTCAGCCAGCCACTCCCTCTCATCTCATTTACACCTCCAACCTCCTCGAAGGCCCCTAGCAGATTTTCAGTCCAACACTGAGCTCCGCTCTGCTGGAAGCCTGGATAAGCCGAGCCTTCGAACCCATCCGGTCTCGGACTCGGACTGAACAAGTTCGCTCCACCTGAGAGCGTCCAGGCTGACTCCTGGGCCGGGAGGCTGCGCAGCGCTACCTCCTGGCCACGTTCCCGCTCTGCCTGGCTGTCTCCAAGCCCCGACTGTAATTTTATCTGGCCGAAAAAGCGATGGAGACCAACTGAGGAAAAGCTTCGCAGAGATCACCCTAGTCCCTGGCACATCCCCAAATCCCCGCTCCCTCCAGCTGCCAAGAAGCAGTCAGAGAAATAGGGGCGGGTGCGATGGTCTGGAAACGCAGATGGGGTGGACGGGAAGAGGAGATGAGAGACAGGGAAAAAGCGCTAATGAGAAAACTCAGAAGAAAACTGAAAACTTGGTTTGCAAAAATTCCTGCACAATTTGTACCCATACCAAAATGAACCCCTTTTGTGTGTCTTTTAAAACGAAGAACTTCGCTCTAATTGTCCTAGGATGGCTGCGCTGCTAATGTTGTATTTTCGTGGCTCAAGATACTAAATGTCGCCAAACCCATCACGGGAGTTAATAATTCCAATGTCCATCACTCCTCCTTCTCTAAACGTGTCCAGTTTTCCGGATCACTGGATTCTTCCAAGCAGGAATCTCCTCCCCCTTCCCCGTTTCTCTCTCTCTGTATGTGTGTGTGAGTGTGTATACATGTGTGTGAACACACATATATCTATATTCTCATATGAATATATACATAAACATTAATTTAGGGATTATGGTTGTGGTTGGAGGGACGTATTTAAGATCTGATCTGTTTTTAAAAAAACATAAGCAACTTCAGCTATGTGCAGAGAAAGGGATGCACTTAGATGCTGAAAAAAAAAAAAAAATTGCCAGCGTAGTTGATGCCCAGAAAGTAAACAGAAACTGCGGGAGGAGAAGGAAAAAGGGGCTAGTCTTGGGGAACCAAGGCATCCTGGAGACAAGGCGCCCGGCTGGGCACTGGCCGCCGCGGGTCACCTGCACCTCGGGAGTCACCATTCCTCGTGCCCACGAGATGGGTGCGCGCGCCATGGAGACGCCTCTCCTCCCAGCCTTCCCGGCCGTTTCCAGGACCAGCTGCTTCCGGGGAGCCGCGACTCCAGGAGGTGCACCTGCGGCCCAGGGAACGCCGGCTGTCCCTTCCCAGTATCCGGCTGCCTGCCTAGGACAGGCTCCTCCGGAAAGCAAGCAACTTACTCAACATATTGGCTTCGTGGGAGCCGTTGACTTTGCCATCCGGGTAGATCTGCAGATGGAAACCGATGCCCACTCTGCAGTAGAGGCTGCCGGTCCGGCGCCCCGAGGGGCTCCACTGGAAACTGCCCTGCTCAGAGCCGCTGCCCTGGCTGCCCCGGGAAGCCGCGGGGGAAGAGGGCGCAGAGGAAGACGTGGAAGACGTCGCGCTGCTACTGCTCCGGCTGCTCCTGGAGACTCCCGGGTTCCGAGCCGCGGCCGCGGGTCCAGGTTGCCCTTTGGGAGCCACACGCTTCTCCTCGTGAGCCCAAGCGCTGAGGATCAGGTGGCTGAGGAAGAGGAGGAAGAAGAAGTATAAGCTCATTCTTCCAGCCGCGGGGGTCCTACGAGCATCTTGCAGGGCTGGCTCTGGGCTCCGGAGCCCCTGCGCGGCTGCGTTCCTCTGACGCTGCCCCCCTCGCTACGCCGGGTGGACATAGCCTCGGGGAAGGCAGAGGGAGACGGGGAGAGAGGGGCCACCCGAGCGAATCTCGGCACTGGCACCGGGATATTTATAACGCCAGTGATCTCACTGCTCCGCGCACGCCTGCGGAGCTTCCCCTCACCCGCTGCTCTGTGCACTCCCTGGCCGGTGCGGGGAGGGAGGCTCGCGGTCCCGGGGGCGGGGGTGTGAGGAGGGAGGAGACGCGGAGCGAGTGGGAGGGG